GGGTTTATTAGAGGGCCATGACTGTGTTGGAAAACTCTTTACTGGGTTAATCATGTATCTACCCTCTCGAAATAAAGAACATTGTATTGTATTGTATTGTACTGTACTTGAACTACTAGATATCAGCAGATTTTGAGAATTTTGTACATGACTTCAGGAATTAATTCCTGCATCTCGTTGTTGATACAATTGGCCAATTTTGAATAATCTTGACAAGAATTTTGTGCCGTTGTAGAGGGAAGTGTCACTAGAAAGGATATCAAATATCAAAGCATGGTGGCTATTAAGGATTCTATGATTGAAACCAGATGACTGTTAAAACAATCAAAGTAATTAAGGTTACAGCTGTAAAGTAAAACTGTTACATTTCATTGTTTACGTAGTCTTTGCAGAATTAAGGTTTATTATTGAACAGAAATGTTTCTTCCTTCCAACCCATGATCATGAATAGACTCTAAAGCAATAGGAAAATATTGAGTACATGCAAGTCACTTCTATTTGTTGCTAACAATATGCAATTTTGCTAACCCAGCTGAGTTCGTGATTACACCTTTGACGAGATAAATAAAATCATCATGTATCATTTAATCACTTTAATACTACCTAAAAACAGACACATTCCCTACCTGCCTTAGCTGTTCCACATATTTATCGTGGTAACCAGCGTCTCCACTCATAGAAGTAGCGAGGTGTTTCACAGTTTCTTCACCGATAACATCACGAGTAAAAACTTCCCTAAACACGCTTGCCAGTAAATGCGACACATCTTGAGAACGACCTGAAGATGGCCGTTGAAGATGCATTGGAGGCTCGACTTCAACCTCCTTTGCGCGTGCCATTTCAACGGTTTCTTGTTTCCTTTACTTTATAACGGTAATGTACGCATAGACCTAAACATTTCCAGACAATCTTCACTTCATTTGGAAGTTTTGACCGCCATTTTGAAGCAGTTGCTATGGATTCTCCATGTACAGATTATACGCGGGCTCAGATATCTACGAGTAGACAGGCGAGGGGGGTTGGGAATAATTTTAAACAACTATTCACCGAAGAGGAGGCGGTTAGGGGTGGATATTTACCGAGCCGCGAAGCGGCGAGGTAAATATCCACCGCTAACCACCGACACTAAGGTGAATAGTTATTTTAGTATATACTAATCCAGGATACTGCTAAAGCTCTACTAAATAGTTCGCTATTGCTTAAATAGCGCTATCTACTGCGAGGATCGTGCATCATACGTACAAAGAAGCAAAAGTTGTTCACAGTGATGCCAACTAATAATTTGTCTGTCCTCTCATGGAACATAAACAAGAATAAATCAAAATGTGTGTATTATAATTATTCAGTTTATTCTTTAACCACAGTTGAAAGCTGACCTTGTGGAGCTTTAGATGGAGAAACCTCTTCTGAAGAGAAATCTTCTGGAACAATGAGATTGTAGCGTCGCAGTAACTGAGTGTCGAGACAGTTTCTGAGCTGCGATTTTGCTAGAAGACAAAATTTACCATCAAGCAGTATGAGCATGAAGTAACAGCCTGTTCTAAAGAATTCAGTGAAAAAATTGCCATATCATAAACATGTATAATTCAATGTGTCACCTTGAAGCAACTGGGCATGTACTATACATACCTGGTGGTAACCCCAATGATTGGTAATTTTCATACCCTTCTGAAATTCTCTGTAGTTCTCTCTCATCAGCAGCCATAGCTGCAGCTTGAGCTTGCATAATGTGAGCCTCCAACATGTCTGCTTCTCTGTGCCTTCTATCCCGTTCCTCTTGTATCTAATGAAGAGCAGTTCATTTGTATAAAATATATGCACTTTTGTTGAGGTGACATGCCAGGTAAATATTTAGTTGTCTTTGTTTTAAGTACTGGTACATGAGCATGCAATGGTAAAATCTAAGTTACTTACAGTAGCATCATTTATTGTTTCCTTGAGCATATTGTTTCTAAAGGTTCAAGCTTAGAAAACAATTAGGCTTATTATCCATGCATGTGCTCTATCTTTGGTAAAATATGTGATACTGCTCTGGCATGCTTGAGAAAAGGTATCATATAATAACATTTTTCATCACCAAGAAATTCACCCAAATGGGCCATGTTTTTGAGTAACAGTACCTTGAATCTTAAAGGATCAAGGGACTAACCACTCTATCCATTGAGCTAACCGCCTCCCGGTTAGCTCAATGGATAGAGCGCTGGACTGTTGTGCGGGAGGTCGAGGGTTCGAGCCCTGGCCAGACCAACACTCAGGGTCTTAAAATAATAGAGAAGAATTTGCTGCCTTTCTATAATATCAAGAAATGGTTAG